GCGTACGCATTTCGCAGAAGAGTACCGGTGCTTCAAAAAGCGCAAGGGAATCCCTGCGACATCTCCTCTAAAGAGCCTAAACCCTTTTCTCGACGATAAGGAAGTCTTACGAGTGGGTGGAAGGTTGGAGAATGCGACGCTTGCATGGGAAACCAAACACCCGATTATCCTGCCGAAACATCATGTGTCTAACATGATAATCAGGCAATGCCACGTGGATACGTTGCACGGGGGTTTGCAATTGACCATGTACACGGTGAGACAGAAATTCTGGATCATCGCCTGCCGAAACGCGGCGCGCACGGTTATCCACCAATGCATACGATGCGTGAGATGGCAAGCAAATACCTCCACGCAAATCATGCAGGATTTAATACCGGAGCGCAGTCGCGCGGCACGACGTTTCTCAAACTGCGGAGTCGACTACGCGGGACCGTATCGGGTCCGCGACTCCGCCGGTCGTGGAAAAACGGCTCATAAAGCATACATAGCAGTGTTCATCTGCTTCGCTACGAGAGCCGTGCACATCGAACTCGTTCATGATTATACGACGAGTGCATTTCTGGCCGCATTAGACAGATTCATCGCCCGCCGAGGAGTTCCGTCCTGCATGTTCAGTGATAACGGAACGAACTTCGTCGGAGCAGATCGGGAATTGAAGGAACACTTCAATACGGTGTATCAAACCCCAGAAATGCGAACGAAGTGCGGTCAAAAGGGCATTAAGTGGAGGTTTAATCCACCCAGTGCGCCCCACTTTGGTGGTATGAAAGAAGCCGGCGTGAAATCGGTGAAACATCACCTGAAACGCATCCTCGGCGAATTTACACACACAAGCGAGGAAATGCAGACACTCCTCTGCAAGATCGAGCCGAGTTTGAATTCGCGACCGATCGCCGCTTTGAGTGACTGTCCCGAGGATTATGCTCCCTTCACGCCGGGCCACTTCCTAATAGGCGGACCGATGAATGCACTTCCGGTCGAGTCAGTGGAAAAGGAAAATCTCTCGCGGCTTACGCGATGGAGAGCGGTCCAGAAATTCCACGAGCAGCTCTGGAAACATTGGACGCGAGATTATCTCACGCACCTCCAGAAACGCTATAAGTGGCGCACCACCCAAGTGCAGTTAAAACCGAATGACTTGGTTTTAGTGCAAAACCCTCTTCTACCCCCCGAATCAATGGGAAATGGGACGAATCGAGGAAGTATTACCGGGCCGAGACAGGTGCGTGCGTGTAGTTAAAGTACGTACAGTTACGTCTACATACACACGTCCGATTACACGGTTGTGTAAACTGCCCGTGGATGAGTCAACATCGACAACGGCCGGCGAAGACGCACACGGGATAAACGAAGACCCGAATTCCGCTGTACCGAGACAAGGACAGTGAGAACAGCCGTTCAAAATCAAAACGGTATGAATTCTCACATATCCAAAGTCTTTAGAACAATACGGTGAGAGGGGAGATATACCCTACCATCCCGGTAGTTAATATGGAAGGGAGCGATTCGCGACATCCGCACGTAAAAGCAGGATCCGCAGGACGAATCGCCCAGTTTCACTCTAAAGCTTACCAGTGAAAGTGAAAAAAAAGGAGATCATGTCATCCAGCGGGGACGAAAGTCTGATCACGGTGGTGGGGTCCCCACGGGACCTGGAGATGGGCCGGCAGTTTAACCGGATGGTGTTACTGGCCAACGAAACCCTACCTGGCCCTTCGGGCATACAGGTAGCCCAGGAACGACGGGACACCGTGAAACCCGCCGCGATCGGAGGACCAAACCAGGAGTCGGGCCCACAGCCCCTCCTAATCAATTTGGGGCAGGACGTGCTGCGGGTACCCCCGCACGTCCCCTGGACCACACGTCGGTATCGCCAGAAGGTTCCAGGGGGCCACTACAAGGTCAAATGGGCGAGGGGTGGCCGGCTTCTAAAGGTGGAATTCCACCCGGCCGCGTCCACGGGCCCAACACAGGCCACGAGCGCCCACGCAGTGGCGACGTCCGCACCACCGCCTGCAGCTGCACCACCGCCACCCGCCGTCGAGCAACGACCGGCGCGACGCGCCACGCCGCCCATGCACCACGAGCGGCGGGATTACGCCCGAAGGAGGCGGAACCGGGGGCCCGCTCGACCCGCAACGGCCAGCCGCCCCCGAAACCGGAGCCACCAGGCCCAGCAGCCGCACCGAAGACCACGTCGCCGGGAACCGACGGGTTCAGCCCTCGGGGATTTCCTCTTGACCACCCTCCGGTTGCTGGAGGACGAAAGGGCCCAAGCACGCCGCTGAGTAAGTACAGTTAAACTTTTACAATAGAAAGTTTTGTACTTCTACCTTCTCTACGGGCTTTACGCGACGTGACCGCGACCTACGCCTCCTATTCTTGTTGCACGGACCGTGCAAGGAAGGCGGTATGTTTAAATATCGAGTAAAATGCGAAATTTAATTTAAATCCGAAACAATACGTTACCCGGTTTGTTTTCGGTTACGCGACCGACCAGGAAGATTCTAGGTCGACGCGTCCGCTGTTCAAGATATTAGAGGACAGAAAAACACGGTTCTCGAGGTTTTCTGTAAAGTCACGCGAACGATTAATTAACGCTCGATTTTGAAACAAGCGGTTTAAACGCCCGAGTTTAGAGAAGGTACGAAAACTCTATAATAGACAGAGACGGACGAGAGACACGGCGACAGCGTCGCGTGACGGAAGACTCTCCCCCCTCACGCGCTCACTTTTGGCAGCTCGTGCTCGTCCGTCACTCGCTATCAAACCACTGCCACGAGCACTTCGGTATACGAACACGCTCAGCAGTTGCATAAAGGAATAATTCGAGCAATCTGACCCGAGTCGAGTTCTTCGACTACCCTCGGAGTTCCAAAGGAATTATTCGCGAGTAATCGTATCGAGCCAGTCGGTACACGACCGAGCTCGGCACTCAAAGTTCATTTAATTTGGAATAGACCGAAGTTCTTCGAGTGCTTCCGGGAAAACGATCCCATAATCCAGGTGTGGGAAGAAACCCTGAGTGGATCAATCGTTTCCCCACGGATAGAGGGTTAAACTCATCCCAATTTATATGTGCGAGGTTCTTCGCGCTTTTCTTAGGGCACGACTACATAATCCAGGTGTGGGAAGAAACCCTGAGTGGAATCATCGTGCCCTAGAGGATCGAGGTTCAAACTCCTTCCTCCAATTGGCTGTCAAAAACGGCTTCGAACCCACCATACAGGGGTGAAGAGTACCCTGGGTGGATTTGCCGTCTTCTAGTCGAAGCGGGACACATTTTTAAACCCCAGCTATCGGCGAAAGCTAGGACACGACCCAAAATCGCCAGGGAGTACGGTCCCTGCGCGTAGGACGGAGACTCCGACAAGCAACGTGGTCTCAGGCCCAACCGTAAGTCGCCCTAAGGGCGCCGTTGACAAGCCTGCACCACACAGTGCCCGTACGCACTTACGAAGGCGGTGAAGGGCCGGGGACCGGCTGAAAGGTTGGAGCCTTACAACCTCCCTCCGATCACCTTCTCCTGCGACAGTCATAAATTGCAGTCGTGAAATTAGACGAGCACAAAATCTCGTACACGACAATAATAAGCAAGCGATTCCCGATTTAACGGCAACGCTCACACATACAGTCCACTAGCTTAGCTGCGCATCGCGGCGGCTGAGATCCCCGCTCCTGGGTGCGACAAGCACAGACCAGACGAGCGCGGAAGAAAGTAAGACACACAGCGTGACTCACGTTCACAGGTATTTAACGCCTATTCGTGTCTCTTTCTGTTACAGGTTTACCAAACAGGATTAACTGCAGCGGCGTCTGGCCGGGCAGACAATTCTTAATACATATTTTGTTTCCACAATTTAATACAAATAAACGGCTTAGTCGAGTCATTCGACTAAGCGAAAATTAAATTGAAAATCTGTATTCTTTTCCCGACGTTCCTTCCCTCACGATCCGGACCACCGTTAGGCGAGGTTTTTTCAAACCTACTCCACCTAACATATTTGATTATTAAAAGCTCATGTTGAAGCTCCTGTATTTTGTTCAATAATTTTAGCTTCAATTATATTAAAATTAGGAACTTATGGATTATTACGTTTTATTTTAATTTTTTATAATAATATAATATTAATTAAAATTTATGTAATAATTATTAGTTTAATTGGAGGTATTATCTTAAGAATTTTATGTTTACGACAAATTGATATAAAAATTTTAATTGCATATTCTTCAGTAGTTCATATAAGAATTTTAATTTCTAGATTAATAACATTAAAACATTTAAGTTTATATAGATGTTATTTAATAATAATTGCTCATGGTTTATGTTCATCTGTGTTGGTTATTAAACGCAGTAAAGAGAATATTTATTAAAAGCTCGATATAATATACGCCATAAATACAGAACAGCTCGTCGGGAATGCGACATGTAACACAAACGGTTGAATAAAAAGTTGTTACCAACAGTAACAAGAACAGATGAGGCTAATGCCTATACGGGTACAAGTAGGCGCCGGAAGGACGCGTTCTTAAAATGTCCGTGCATCGTCGTGTGAACACACCCAATTGCTCACAATCTGGATTATTTTATATAGTAAATATATGTTATAAAGAAACTAATAGACGATTAATAATTATTAATAAAGGAATAATAAGAATTATTCCAAAAATATCATTATTATGATTTTTATTATGTTCTTCTAATATATCTGCACCATTATCATTAAATTTAATTAGTGAAATTTTTATTTTAATAGTTTTATATAATTGGTGTAATTATCTTTTATTGTTATTAATGTTAATTAGATTTTTAAGATTTATTTATTCATTATATTTATTTAGTTATATTAATCATGGAATAATAAATTTTTATTTAAAAATTAAAAATCCTAAATTTTTAGAGTTTTTTGTAATTATTATACATTGATTACCTTTAAATTTTATATTTTTAAATTTAGATTTATTTATATAAAATATTAAATTTTGTTAGAATCTAAGGGTTCTATCCGGGGTCCGGACGAGGGAGTTGACACGGAAAGAGAAGTTGCTCAGATTTGATTTTTCTTTCGGTTTGTCGCTTCGCGATAAACCGTTTATTTCTACAAAAAAATATGGGAAAAAAACTAAAAATCAAATAAACTATAAAAATATATTTTTTGCAACGGCCAGGGGGTGGAAGGCCTCACCGGTGTTGCCCTGGCTGGGTCGGTCCTTGATTACTGAAACAAATGATCGACCAAATTAAATACGTGCGTGCACGTAATGTCAACACGCTCGTCAGCTGTTCGACTCGCTCTCCTAGCGACTATCGGTGCGCTCGGAGGGGAAGATCAGCTGTCGTTTAGCGTAATTTAGTGGACTGCAATACGTTGCTCGCGGATAGTTTTTTAGTTAAACTATCGACGAGACTTTTGCCCTGAACAAAGGAGACTTGTCGTGGGGAAAATCTTCGAAAGACTCCCTCCCACCTCTTTGGGGAGAGGCGGGAGGGGTGTGTGGGATTCCCCGCGCCCATTATAACGGGCGCGGGACCTACCCACTAAAAACCCCACGGTGACCCTTCCGCACGATTTGGGAGGATACCGGGAATCGCTCGAAGCATACTTCCGGTATCCTCCCCGTGCCCGCGCTTTGCGCCCACCCGCGGGGGGACAAACGGTCCCCCCGGTAATCGCCCTGTCTCATAGCGGCAGGACGAGGCCACATCGTCCTGCCGCCATCCGTCCCGGGGCCGCGTCTAGTGGCGGCTGCGAGCCCCAACTCGCAACCGCCGCGACCCCGTTTTCTACCCCTCGGAGCCGGCAGCTCGGCCGCACCAGGCCACCGAGGGTGCCGCTCCGTGCGCCGGACCCGGACAGGAGGCACTGCCACCCCATCCGGTCCGACCCTACGCCGCCTGGCGGGAGGGGGCTCCTATCAGGACCCCCCTCCCAGCCTGGGTCATGCGCCACGCCGAGGGGGCCGCCCGCGTCGCCTGACGCCCAGGCGACGCTCTCTCGCCACCAAACGAGCGCGAGCCTCAGCGCGCCGCTGACGCTCGCGCTCCCTTCCCGCGGTCTCCTTCTGCAACATTACGATTTCGCAGAAGGAGGCCACGGCCCTCCACTTCTCCTCGCTGCCGAGCATGGCGCGCACCATGCCCGGCAGCGAGACATCCCGCCCGATGACGCCGATCAGGACACGGCGTTCACCCTCCCATGCAGCGCATACCTCGAGGGTATGTTCCGCCGTGTCCTGCTCAGCGTCACAATGGCAGCAACGCGCCGTCGGCTCCTTCCCTATCCGGCACAGGTATCTCCCGAAGCTGCCATGCCCCGAGAACACCTGTGCCATCCTGTAAGTGAGGCTTCCATGGCCTCTGTCCAGCCACTCACATAGGAGTGGCCGAACAGCCCCGACTGTCCGGTGCCCCGCGGTAGGCAGAGCCAACCGCTCTTGCCACGCGTGCACCACGGACTGCCGGGCCTGGCGCTTCAACTCGCCCCAAGCAGGTTCCTGCACACCCGGGACCGCCCCCACCCCCGCGCGACGGTCGACGCGGTGACGATACATCATCGCGTGCGACAGGTGCAAGGAGATCCAGGAGGCCACTTCGTCCTGCCGCCATCCGTCCCGGGGCCGCGTCTAGTGGCGGCTGCGAGCCCCAACTCGCAATCGCCCGCGACACCCGTTTCTACCCCTCGGCGGCCGGCAGCTAATGTCCGCACCAGGCCACCGAGGGTGCCGCTCCGTGCGCTGGACCCGGTCAGGAGGCACTGCCACCCCATCCGGCCCGAGCCTACGCCGCCTGGCGGGCGGGGCTCCTGTCACGACCCCCCTCCCAGCCTGGGTCATGCGCCACACCGAGGGGGCCGCCGCGTCGCCTGACGCCCAGAGTCGCTCTGCGATGCCCTGTTCGGGTTACCCGGCCTTTTCCGCCGCCGTTCCCTCCTAGATTCTGGCTTTTTTGTGGCGTCCTCCCTTAGCTTTTTTCTAGCGGCGGTGGCTTTTCGACACCGATTGCGCGTTTTACGCGCCGTCTCCGCCGTCGGTGTCGGTTGCTCGGTCGCGACTAGCGTCGCGCTTGACGTCGATGCAATCGGCGTCTTCGACTCGTTGTCCATCCTTAGCAGGCAAGACTTTAGTATTCCTTCTTTGGTCCAGCGGAGGACGAAGCGTCCCCCGGGTAAAGGGCATTTGTATCGACGGGTGGTCGTTGGGATGTGGGCCGGCACCATTATGCCCGGGCCGCCCACTGGAAAGACCAATGGCCCCTTCGTGGTTAGTTCCCTGCTGGTCGAGGGTACCGGCTGGGGTACCTCGGCTTCCTGCTTCGGCTGGGGGGGCCTCGACCAGCCCTCCCAGCTGGAGGATGCGTTCGAACGCGGGATCGAACCCCGGGCTTGAGATCGCAGATTCTGGCGTACTTGGCTCACTTTCTCTTTCCATGGCTAATCAGTAACTGATCTTTTCCGGCGAAGAGTCGTTCGAATTTAGATTTAGGGGCGCTAGCATAGACTAAGTGTCCCCGTGCCTAAGCGATAACGAGATTGGTGGATATTACCCCCTACTCTTCGCTGTCGCACAGGCGACAAGTGGCCGGTGAGAATCAACCGTTTCTCACCTTCCAAAATCCTTGTCTTTCGAACTCGAACGGTTTTGTTTAGATCACCTGCTCGACTTCGGTGACCGTTGCCGAAGGTGACTCAAACGAAAACTCAGCCACAGGCAGCTTACACAACCGCGTAATTGGTCGTGTATATTTGGATTTGGCTGTGCGTATTTTAACTACACGTACATGCCCATCCTTTTCCGGAAATACTTTCTCTATTCTTCCCATTTCCCACTGATTTGGGGGGGAGGAGAGGATTCTGCACCAATACAAGATCATTCTTTTTTAGGTGTGTATTTGCCGTCTGCCATTTATAGCGGTTCTGGAGGTGTGAGAGATAATCTCTCGTCCAATGTCTCCAGAGCTGCTCGTGTAATTTTTGCATGGCTCTCCATCTTGTAAGATGCGAAATGTTTGCATTTTCCACGGATTCCATCGGGGGTGCCATCGCAGGTCCACCGATTAGAAAGTGGGCCGGTGTGAGAGGCGCGTAATCATCAGGGCTGTCACTCAGAGCGGCAATCGGTCGCGAGTTTAAACTAGTTTCGATTTTACAGAGTAACGTCTGTAATTCTTCGCTCGTGGGAGTGAATTCTGCTATGATGCGCTTCAAATGATGCTTCACCGATTTGACCCCTGCTTCCTGCATCCCACCAAAATGGGGGGCACTGGGTGGATTAAATTTCCACCGAATGCCCTTCTGGCCACATTCGTTTTGCATTTCAGGCGTTTTACACACCATATTGAAATGTTTTCTTAATTCACGATCTGCACCGACGAAATTTGTCCCGTTGTCACTGCGTATGCAGGACGGGATTCCTCGTCGGGCAATGAATCGATCTAATGCAGCCAAAAATGCACTCGTCGTGTAATCGTGGACGAGTTCAATGTGTAGAGCCCTTGTAGCGAAACAGACAAAAACCGCTATGTACGCTTTATGAGCTGTTTTTCCTCGGCCCGCGGAGTCGCGGACTTTGTACGGGCCCGCATAATCAACTCCGCAGTTTTTAAAAGCCCGTGCTGGACGACTGCGTTCCAAGGTCAAATCCTGCATGATCTGTGTGGAGGTTTGTGCCCTCCATCTCACGCATTTCATGCATTGATGAATGACCTTTCGAGCCGTGGTTCGGCAACCGAGGATCCAAAATTGCTGCTTCACCAGGGATATCGTCAGCTGCAAGGCCCCGTGCAACGAATTTACGTGGTACTGCCGGATTATCATGGTAGATACATGATGTTTTGGCAGAATTATGGGGTGCTTCGTTTCCCATGCCAGTGTCGCATTCTCCAATCGTCCACCTACTCTCAAGACCTCGTTTGTGTCTAGGAAAGGGTTCAGATTTTTTAAGGGAGATTTTGCGGGAATTTCCCTGTGTTCTTTTAAACACTGGTACTCGCCCGCAAAATGCGTTCGCTGGATGTAGCGGACGATTCTCTCTTTTGCTAACTGCAATTCTGATGCTTCGACAACTCTTGCGTCGAACGACCTTTTCTCACCTTGCATCGGTCTTCGTAATCGGAGACAGTATGCAGTTACGCGAAGTAGCTTACTCCAGGTTGAGAATCGGAACACGAATTCCCATTCTTTCTCTGAAGTTGCAACGTGGGCGTGCGGAATGCGCTTGCCCTCGTTCGTATTGATGGAATCAGGCGTTTTAGGCTACGTTTCCTCTGGTTGTCTTAACCATGCTGGTCCGGAAATCCACAGCTTCGACTGAATGAGTTCCGCTGCTTCGACTCCGCGCGAATTCAAATCCGCGGGATTGAAGCAGGTCGGAACGTGTCTCCATTCAGCCTTCGGAAGCAAGGTTTGAATTTTCGAAACTCGGTTGGCTATCACTACCTTCCAAGTTGAAGCATGTTTTTTCAACCAAGCGAGTGCAATTGTGGAATCTGTCCAACAGATTATACGGTCAATTTTTATCGAAAGTGACCGTTCTACATGCACTGTAAGCTCGGTGAGCAGTACGGCTCCATTAAATTCGAGAATCGGAATCGACTACGTCTTTATTGGAGCCACCCTTGTTTTTGCCATGATCAAGGTTGTGAAAACTTCCTCGGTCATGGTCGTCACGCGTAAATACGTGACGGCCGAGTATGCTCCGAGCGAAGCATCGCAGAATCCGTGTAATTCCACCGAAACTGCATCTGCTCCGTAACGGATCCATCTGGGAAATGTTACTTTTTCCAAACTACCCCAATCCTCGCAAAACGTGTTCCACGTTTTTAACGTATTCGCGGAGACATGATCGTCCCACTGGATTTTTTCCAGCCATTGGGATTGCATCAGCATCTTCGCACGAATTACGACTGGTGATAACCAGCCGAGCGGATCGTATAATTTGGCTATTTCGGAAAACAAAGTTCGTTTTGTAATAGGGCCTGCAGCCGGTTGGAACCGTTGCGGGTTGAAACAGAAATAATTACCCGATGGTATCCATCGTAATCCGAGCACCTTGAGTTCGGAGTCATTGAACAAGGTGAGATCGACAGCGTGGGAGTGAGAACTTTGCGGGATGTTTCGCAGCACTTTCTGCAAATTGCCAGCCCACTTTCTCAATTGAAACCCACCGCCCTGTAGGAGTTCGCAAACTTGGATACGAATTTTCTCCAGCAAGGACGTGTCGGGTGCCCCCATGAATACGTCATCAACGTATATGTCCTTCTCAAGTATCGAGGCGGCGAGAGGGAATCTGTCACCGTCCCGTTTTTTCAACTCGAGAAGAGTCCGCATCGATAAATATGGTTCACACGCCGTTCCGTACGTAACGGTATTTAACTCGAATGCTTTCAGCTCTGTGAACGTGATGTCGTTCTGTAGTTTCGGTCCTACGTGCAGGATGTCGTTTATGGATTGTCCACCCACTATACGGCTGGTCGCATTAAACACGACTCGTAGTTTGGTGGTTGCACTCTCCGTACGGATGACCGCTCGATGCGGAATGTAGAGTCTGGATTTTTCAGAGGGCTCGATACGAGTCATGTGCTCCAACGACTCATACTCCGTGAGAAACTCTTGGTATTCTCGTACGAGGGTCTGATCCTTGTCCAATTTCCTTCTCAACCTTGTTAACGCGGAAAGAGCGATACGGAGTGAATCTCCCAGTGCTCCTTCCGGTTTCGGATGATTAAATGGCAATCGAACGATAAACCGTCCCGTTGCATCCCGTGCGACAGTTTTTTGGAAATGAGCTTCGCACTCTTCCTCTGCTTTTGTAAGCACCGAGGTCGAGGGAATTTCTTCAATTTCCCAGAACCGTCGAATCGCGTGATCCAGCGATTCGAATATGTTGCAATGCAACGTTCGCACGTGACCCTGGGCCTTGCTCGCTGCATCTATCGGTCCGGATAATATCCAGCCAAATGCAGTTTCTTGTGCAATAGGCCCTTCGGGAGATATTCGACGGAATCCCGACCGAATAACTTGAGCGTACAAATCTGCGCCGATCAAAACTTCAATGTTTTGGCCAGACGCGGGCTCGGGATCGGCGAGCTTCAGGTTTCGCAACGCGTCGTTATCGAGCGCGTTTACTGATGGCGAGGCATAATTCGTGATTTTTGTCACGACGTACGCTCTTGCCGAAACCACAGGGGTTACCCCGGAAGCCGTTCCCAAATTCAGCCCTACGCTGTACTTGATTTTTTGGGTCCGACCACCCCCCAAGCCCGATACTGTGGCTGAGGTTTTCTTCCTCGGGAGGTTGAGGTCATTCCTCAATTTCGCCGAGATGAAGGATGTTTCGGACCCTTGATCTAACAGCGCGCGCGTTAAATGCGACGCGCCATTTTCTCCGTACACTCGTACGATCGCGGTTGCTAATAGCACCGGCCTCGGTACGTCTGTACTCGCCGTACAGTGTGACGTAGCTGCTTGCGCGTTCGAGGTATCGGTGCTGGCTTTCGCCTTAGCCGTACGGCGCTGTGGAGGGGCGTTATCTCGCCGTTCCTCGCGCTTGCCGTTCGAAAATTTCGATTTCGGCGTCTGGCTTCCAGCCTCCTTTTCGTATTGTTCGAAATGCAACAGCGCGTGATGCCTGCCACCGCATCTCGAACAACCTTGTTGGCTCCGGCAGCCTCTTACGTCATGATCCAGGGCCAGGCAGGCTATACATCCCTGACTGAACTTTACGATCTGGTAACGTACTCGTGTGGAGAAGCGCTTAAATGTGCCGCATTCCGAGAGTGCATGCGTTTGTCCGCAAATCGTGCACTTTCGCTGCGTAGGGGAGGACTCCACGACGGCGTTATGACTCCGTACTGGCGGCTTGTTTTCCCGTTTTAACCCAGGTTTTCGGTTATGTTCGTCAATGACGGTCATAGCACGTGCCTCCTGGTCGAGAAATCTCATGATCTCCTCAAGCGACGGATATTCTGTTGACATCTTGAGGGATCGCTGCCATTCCCCTTGCAGCGCGGCATCAAATTGGCTTGCTACTATGTGTGTTAACAACCAACTAAGCTGCTCTTCCACTGTTCCTTTTTTTGCAAGGATAGCGAGTGCTTGCCGAAAACCGATGGTGACCTGCTGAACACTCGACAGGTCGCCTTTTCGGATTTTTGTCAATCTCAGAATCCGATCAAGTAGCTTGATCAGTACCAAGCGTGGGAGCCCGAATTCTGCTTTCAGGGTCGACCACGCTACTGAGAAATTTGAATCCGTTATCGCAAGAGATGCGATAGCGGCTGCGGCTCTCCCGGTTATACAGGTGTTCAGGTATTGCAACCTTTGCACGTCCGTTAACGTGGGGTTGGTTATTACTCCGGCGGTAAATAGGTCCTCGAAATGTTCCCATTTCGTAGGATCTCCGTCGAATTTTTCCAACCTCATCTTCGGGAGTTCGATCGGTATCGTCTGCTGTATTTCCGCCATCCCTGATTTAGGACCAGCGGTGAGACGGGTTACTTCCGTGGCCAATTAGGCCTGGAAGTCCAAAAATTCGTTTTCGGTTTCTCCCATAAAATCCCGTTGGAACAACTCGTAAGAGTGTCGTTCTCCAGGGGGGAGAAGCCTACACACGATTTTATATTGATCGTTCATTTGTTGCCACAGAGTTTTTACGTAGTCGAGCCTTTCCTCCAGAATTTTCTGTGTGAATTTGGCTCGACCCATCTTTTTAAGGTTGATGGACGACCTATTTATCCGTTCCATCCCCCTGGCCAAGTCCTCGAGGTGTGCCTCAAGGTCAGACCAATTGGGATCTTTTGTAACGGACATGGTTGTTGAAGGTTAAGCGCTTCTAAACAACCGTACACGGGAGAAACTCACGTGTAATACGTCCGACCTTTCCCTTCTCCGACTGCCTCGATATCCGGCTCGAAGGACCTTATGTTAACAAGTTGATACTTTTAACTAATGAGTCCGGATAAAGGTATGGGAGTTTATCGGGGAAGTGAATCGGACAGCAAATTGATTTTCTTTTCGTCGGTCTTTAGGACCGACCTTTTATTACAAAAATAAAGACAATAAAAAAAAAACAGAAAATCAAAGGAAATCGGAACAAGTAATAATTAAAATAAATTATTTCGGCCTCGTCTCTGGCCGTTCCGCGAGACTCCGGTGGTTACGCTCGCCGGCTTGATTTAGGCCAGGATTCCTGTAATCAGAAAAACACGGCTATGGGTCAGCCACACGTAAACACGTTACACGTATATGCCGCGTCTGTGTTCTCACGCTCCCGGCGTCGTTATTCGAACGAACGGGAGCAGAGAAGTTTCGCTTGTTCGTATTATACGAACTCGAAAGTGGACTGTATAATTTTTCCGGCGTAGAAAGAAATTAAACTTCTTTTCTTTACCGATTTTTCGTCGATTGCCTAGTGGACGGGGGCGCAAGTGGAGGTTGTAAGGCTCCAAATGCACTGATCCCGTGAGTATGCCCACTGAGTCTGTGCGTCGAGTCGCACTGCAGTGGAACGGCACGACCGTCGATCTGCGGCTTCTCTTTACACGTTCCAACAGATGACCTGTTGGCCGAGAGTTGCACTGCGAAGCCCGACAGCACGTTGTTCACTGCACGAATTCACTACTCGATGTGATTCGCGGCAGTATTTGAACTACGTGGGGGCCTGACCCACGACTCCGTTACCTCTCCGCACAGGAGCTCCTCTAAGCGTTCACCGGCGGGATCTGTAGAAGTAAGGAGGCGAAGACCGAAAGTCAGACGTCCTAAGTGGACGTCGACCTGACTACAGTGAGCCCACCTGGAGGTACACCACGTAGGTGCCTCCCTTCGGTGTCTCCTCAGCCGAATGGCAGTCACAAAGAAGTGTAGACGGATACCGTCTACACTTCTTTGTGTTTCTAGCGTTTATACGTTAGAAACGACCGTTCAATTCTGCACCGGGATGGTCGAGCACCTTGAAGGTGTATTCTCGAGCCCCCAGAATTGCAGAATTTGCAGCTAACTCAGGTTATGAGTGCACTTGTGCGAACCGGAATACGGTTCACGTAATAAGTAAAAAAATGGGAATAAATTCCACACTTTTCCGAGTCTTATGAATTCGCAGCTGTGCATGGGCTATCGATTAACTCACGCCAAACTGAACGACTGCTCGATACACTCTTTTACAAAGGTAGTCTATATTCGTAATTCGAAAGAATATTTTCTTTCGAATTGTATTCGAGTTCTGGACGGACACGATCGGGAGCCGATGTGTTCAGGGCAGAAGTCGGTTTTAGACTGTGACGATTGACAGCCGAAGACGTCGCCGTGGTACGCTAATTAGTCGTTCCGTGGCGCTGTCTAAATTTCGACTGTCTATCTTTGTCAGATTATCGACGCGCTACTCTCTCACGGTACTGACGTCACCAACACCGTTAGCACACTCGAATCGAAGGTAATGAACCGTTACCGATGCCAGAAAAATATAATTAATAATTCTATCACTGCTCGCTGTACAAATTCAATTACAGATAATCTCTTGGTTACTGTACGCTAACAGGATTAACGGCAATTGCGGCCGAGGATAATCGCTCGGCATTATGCAATCTTTAAACAATATTTATATTAAATATAAATATTAATATAATAATATTATATATTTCTTTAATAACAACTTTTATAGCAAGATTAATAGCTAATTTTGAATATGATTTAAAAAAAATTATTGCTTTATCAACATTAAGACAATTAGGATTAATAATATTAACTTTAAGAGTTAATTACTATGAATTAGCTTTTTTTCATATAATTATTCATGCTTTATTTAAATCTTTAATATTTTTATGTGCAGGAGATTTTATTCATTTAATAAATAATAATCAAGATATTCGTAAATATGGTAATATATTAATAATTATACCTATAAAAAGATTAATTATTATTTTTAGTTTAATTATATTAATAGGATTTCCTTTTTTAAGTGGATTTTATTCAAAAGATTTGATTATTGAAATATTAATAAATAAAAAATTAAATTATATATTTTATTTAATTTATATTTTATCAATAACATTAACAATTAGATATAGAATTCGAATAATTTTATGATTAATATTTTATAATAATAATTTTATACCTATAATATATTTTAAAGAAAATAAATTAATAACTTTTTGTATAATAATATTTGTTACGTATGCCGAACGTTTCGTTCCTCAAATTTTTCTTGCCACTTGCGTGCATTGGGAAATCGCCCTGCTACGTATCTAACCTTTGGAATGGGGGTCACTTCCGTCGAGAGCAATTCCGAGAATACAGTAGTTCGGTAATTAACGCAATTCGGAGAATACCGAATGCGGTAACTTCTAACGTACTTTTCAATCCGCCCCCACAGATTTTTGGGTATATAAACCCCGCGATTTCATTACTCCGGGGATCATAATCGTACCGTCACGTTTAGAGTCAACGTCACGTCTCTCGTTACGCGTCTACGGTTTTGATAGTCAGTTATATCTAGTGAGATCGGGCTATAGTGCCCTTTCGTATCAATATTAAACCATATAGAATCCGTGAACCGGCATAAATTCTATTACGGCCTTTAGTTTCAACCGACTTACCCCCGCATCGCCAGAGCGTCAACACCGAGCAACAACATTTTAAGTATTTATAATTATTCTTTGGACGCGACATAACATACACAGAACACTTGTATTTTATTTGTTGTTTTAAGAATATATCTAGTTTGATTATTAAATCAGAGTACCCAACTTCTTTAACCCATCATTATATAAAGCGATTATTATTAGTTAAACGTTCCCACAATAATATAACCTTACCGCTCGGGTTATATTATATTTGTCGGAGAAGCGGAATCATGAACCACTTTCCAATGGCGGTTAGCATTTGGCCCTCTCGGGCGACCAAGCCTTTGTCTTGTTATCATATGCATTTTTCTAAACTTCGAACTAAATAAACTTTAACTAACAATTAACTCAAACACTTAAACGAAACGAAAGAATGCTCAAAGTAAACTAATGAGTCCTTTGCAAGGATTTCTATTTAGATTTTCTCGCACAACCTTTCCTTCTGATCACCCTTTTTCTAAAAGTTTCGGTAACCAGACAACCAACTCGGCTACCTTCAAAGGCCACATTCAAACGTCAACGCCAACCAGACGTACGTTTGCGTTTCCGATGACATTCTTTGCATCGATAAAATTTAAGAATCGATAAGGGGCAATATAACTTTATTACCACAAACTGAAGTAACATTCAATTAGAACAACAACAACTGTTTAATGGATTCCGTCACAGCAATCTTGACAGTTACCCGTCCTCGGGTACTCACTTGTGTGATCATCCGAAGTAAATGAGTATTCCGAATAATGATTAAGTTAGGCTGCTATGACACACTAGAGTCGAAAACACTATCTGTGCAGGTAAGAATTTTGCTTCAAATTCTTATTCGCAATTTATTACTAACTTAAAAACTACCATAGATCAACAAGTTTCCGTGTAAATCATTCCAACCTTAATTCAAGCTCAATCTTTTTGACAACACCACACTCCTCACTGAAGCTCGAACCAGTACTTCGGTCTACATGTGCGCAAAGTGAACCAGTCCTTCGGTCACTTTGCCGCAGCTAGTCCTTCAGCTGCCCTGCCAGTCCTTCGGCAGTATTGTGTAATTTTTTTAGTTATCACGTCCACATGTTCTACAACACAGTTGGTACTATCGAATCTTTCCTTGTCACAGTTAGCATTGTTGTTCATACTCTGTGTCGCCTGTTCTCTCACTTCATTAATATTCATTACTGGATCATCAACATCTACTGTCATTAAGTTTAATGGTCTGGCGACCTTTCCCAACATTAATTCTAAAGGACTTGCTTTGGTCACCCGATTGACCGTTACATTCAGGGCAAGTTGAATATCACCAAGAGCATCTTGCCAAGAATGATCTTTACTAACTTCCACAGCTGTCAACATACTTTTAAGAGGGCTCATAACCCTTTCTACTTGTCCATTAGCCCGACTCCCACCGGTGGCAATAAGATGTAATTGGATATTATGTCTGGCGCAAAAGCTTGAAAACTCTTTGCTAGCAAAGCAACGACCTTGACCAGTAATCAACCTATTAGGGGCACCAAACAGCGCCTCCCCCGATTTTAAAGCTCTTATGCTACTATTGCTATCAATAATGGTTGAGTGATGCAACATTACAAATTTAGTAAATGCATCAATAAGGACAAATACATACTCTTTAACATTGTTTTTAAAACTTAGCTTGCCAGAAACATCTAAATGAACAGTGTGCCAAGGTACAGGGATCTTAGGGATTGGATGTAATTCTGCTTGAACCCGCCCGGAACTTGGTTTAGAGATTTTGCAAGTGATACAATTGTCGACAAATTTGCGTACGTACTTTGCCATTCCTTGAAACCAATAATGATCATACACCTTTTCTAATGTTTTCTTCCACCCTAAATG